TTCTTCTACTCTTCTCTATTTACTTTATTCACTTGCCGCTTCCGCAAGTGCCCATTTTTCATAGGACGGAAATTGGTTCTGAATTTCCCAACAAAATAGACTATAACTATGATTCATAGGCTTGACTTTAGAAATTAATGATACATAGTGGAGTTAGTTAGAATAAGACTTTGACTGATTGATGTCTAGAGTTCCATAGTCTGATTTACCTGTTTCACTCAATGAGAACTTTGATGTAACTTTCCCTTTAATTAAAAATGACGACTCACAAATTTTGGTGATGACTTTCTTCAACATTTTTACTTGGTCTCCTGGTTAAGGATGAGATTCTAGTGTACACCACAAATTATGATTACATCTCTAATTGTGTATTTGAGGAATTTTAGGACAATATCTTAGCAACTTCATACATCCAAATCTATAGGTTGTTGTGTAGTCTGTACCACATTTGTAATTCAAACTGTTTAAGCAATTTTATTAATATTTGTATAATGATATAACAGTTTAACCGATAGTTTATTAATTAAACCGTATACTGATGAATTTAGATATACTTATATAATATATTAATATTAATATTGAAAAATCAATAAAAAACAATAAATTTTTTATTTTCATTAAAAATTAATTATAAATAAAAATCGGTCGTATGACCGGTACTGTTCAATTTAAAATTAAACTAGCCGGTATGATCGATTTTGACTGATATAATTGTATAACTGATATAATTGTTTTACCATACTAATATTAAGACCGATTGAACTGACCATCACGAACCAGTTTTTACAACACTAGTTTAGAAAAAAAGTCAATAAACCCCATTCAATTTTTGACCACTTGCAAATTGACACAACCATCTTTTAAATCATTTTAGTTAATCCTTAAACTATTACAGTTAATGAATGGTTCATTTCATACATTTTTCATTAACTTACTATTAGAAAAAGGACAGGGTAAAAAACTAAATTTAAATCCATCTTTCAACAATATATCATAACTATTTATTTTTTAATAATTTTTTTCACCACTCTTCAAATTACTTATTTTATAGAAATTTAAACCGTTTATGCTTTTACAAAAAAAAAAACATTTAAAAAAAAAACATGATTTGAATATCAAAGCCACAACATTCCCACTTAGATTTAAGGAAAAAAATGTACCAAAAAAGATTCAAGTAAGGAAGAACAACAAATCATTCTATTATGATTATTGCTGAAATGGTAGAGAGCCAAGATATTTGAATTGTCATTTTGGTTCTAACAATTTGTTTTCCTCTTATCTAAGTATGGTTTCTCTTGTGCCGTAACCGTTGGACATGATTATTAGACATACTTTATATATCATTTGCGTTACATAAGAATTTAATTGTGCATTCAATCATATTGTTAAAGCATGTGGAAAGTGAGCCAAGAGCAAAGTTCAAATATAGAAATTACATAAGTTTAATTATTTATATGCTCTTTAAACATGTTTTGGTTTAATATAGTAGTATGGATAATGAATATTGGATGAAAGAATTTATTGATATAATTGTAATAATCTAAGAGTCAATTGAGATGATTTAAAAGTTCATTATAATAATTTACAAATGGACTAAAAGTTCAAGGTTCCTCGGCAGAAAACTCAAGACATTATCCTTTTGAAGCGAAGCGTAGAAATCAACAAAGTCCTTTTGTTTATACTAATAAAACCTAAGAGATTTTCCGGTAAATCTCCGGAATAAAATACTTAAGGAAATCATATATCTCAATCATCAATATGCACACTGCTGAGCGTTGTAAAAGAAAATTCATATTTTATGGAGTAATGTTATAAAATTTACAGGTAACCGACTAAATTAATGATTCACAATGGTTGAGAATGACAACTACATATTCAAACAATATTAATTTTGATATCTTTATCAAAATTAGGGGTGACAAAATTACTCACAATCTATAATTCATCTAAATTTATCCAAGTTAAATTCATTCAAATCCATCCGTTAGATCTAATGAATTTAAATGGATATATATAATCCAATGGATAGTGTTTATAATTGATAGGTTCAAATCCATCCATTATATCCATTAGATATATCCATTTGGACGGATGCTCAATCCATCCAAAAAATAAAAAATAAAAACATTTTTTCTTCTTCTCAAAACACACGAGCAAACTCTTTTTTTAACAAAAAGATTCTTTCAAAAGTTGCATTACTCTTTCTAACAAAAACATTCCTTCAATAAAAGCTAGCTTTCTTCATCTATGGAGGTTTATTTTTCCAATATCTTCATTCATTTTACTTAGACTTCAGATACTTGCATTGAATGTTTAACATTTCTTACCAATTTCATTTCTCTTTTATTCATTTCAATTAGATATTTCAACTATCTATCAATCATCTGTAAATATAATTTATGTTTGTAACCAACCAAAAAAACATGAAGAATGAGAGAAATAGCAAAACGAATCTATGAATTTCATGATATACGTCAATTTTTTTTAACAACACTAACATTGACCTCACTTGAAGGTTTTAAGATTATAAATTTAAGCTTAACCACGTGATTTACCATTAAAAACTTAAGTTAATTTTTAAGTTTATTACTCCTTTAAGTTTTTGGATAAAAATTTCAAAAGTTCACCATTTTAGAAGTGTATTAAAAAAAAAACACTTTTTAAAAATATGAAGTCACATATTGGATATCCATCCATCCAAATACATAATTGGATATCTATACATCCAAATACATAAAAATGGAGTCATGGATTGATTGGATGAATTATAATCCATTAGATATGAATAAATTGAATAACTTAAAATATGGTTTAAATAAATTTATATGGATTGATGGAAGTCTTTCCATCCATCATTTTTCATCCAAATCCAAACCCATCTAAATCCATCCATTCGTCGCCCTTAATTAAAATGTGAAAAAATATCATTGATAGTACAAAATAATAGTATCGTCATAAGGTTTTATTTAATTTGCATCAATTTGTCTAACAATAAGTTGGTCAGTGGATTAAAACACAAGGATCGATATGCTTACTTTGCCGGTACAGGTCACTGAAGTTTCAGTATGACTGACCGCAAATGGTGCATGAACATGAACAATTGGAAGAACAAGTTTAGGTATGAAGTTTAGAAAAATGATAATCCTTCTAGCCTATAAATTCTTATACGCATGTATGATAATAAGATATTGTTGTGAATGCTTGAAATATGTTATTAAATTAGTCCCATATCACATAGTATTTGAATAGAAGAGTAATCAATGTTATATATTGGACTCAAATCCCGTATTATAATGTGCACCGGATATAAGCACTAAACAGAAACACCACATGAGCACTTGGGCCCATGGTTGTGCTAGAGTTTGTAATCCTTATTCTCTAATAATATATTGGTAGCCGCTCAACGCTCCTAGGGATGTAGGCACAATTGGCCGAACCTCGTACCAAATTATTTTATTTATTCTATGCACTTTATTTGATTGTTTGTGACTAATGCTGCGCAAAGATTGCTTCCGCTACACCAATAAATATGCTACAAGGTGAAATGGTTGAGGCATAAGTGGCACATATCACTTTTTATCAATAGTAAATAGTAGAAGGCTAAGTTTATTTGATGATATATTACTATTCGTGAGCTTTATTCCCTTGGAGTATACCATTGATATAATTATTAGAGATGTCTCCAAAAGTGAGTTTATTGTTAAATCAAGTCAAGGATGTCATGCTTGAAGATTTGGCTAATTTAACTTGTTAAGTATCGATTTGAATCAATGTTTCCACTAAGTCAATTATATATTTTTTAAACTCTAACTTAAGAACTAATGATGTGTTAGTCTAATGATGTAAAATCCTACTGAATCTTCAGATAAGTCAAAATGTCAAAGATTCAATTTCTAGAAACAATACTTATTGGAAGGAACAACGACACATTTGAAAAAATTAATTCATTATCTGTAAGGTGAGGGAAAAATCTTACTTTACTAAAAAAGACTCTAACTTAGGTTTATTAAGATTCAGGAGCTATTTAAATATTTAACAACATCAATTTCTAGTTAATTTGTTCAAATGGTACTAATGTATAAATCACATATAAATGGATTTGTATGAATTTTTTTATTTGAAAATCTAATACATTCACATATTGTTATAAAAAGCATATAGATAATAATTATGAGATAATGATTTGGGTTTATAAATCTAACAATTCAAACTTTATTTCTTACCTTCACCTTATTTATTTAATAAGTTTATGTTCAACTCATCTAATTCATAAATAAGTTTATTAAATTAGTTAATAATTTGAGTATCCATTTAATTTAGATTTGTCGGTTGATTATGAATCCAAATGTTAGTGCTTTAAATACCCAACCTGCATTTTATTTTAAATTTTTTGTGCTGAAATGTATTTGACACTTACTATGAATCTTCTACCTGTACGGACTAGGATTATGTAAGTAGTCATGGGTTTGTTAACGCGTATGGTTTAGTATTATTTACTATTGATTAAATTTAATTAATTGATATCAAATTACTCATAAAAAAATCTTATACAAAGAAAGAACTAGTGGGAGTAGATAGATTAATATTATAATGACATATTTGTAAAAACTACCTTATCTCACAATCCCATTAGAAAAATTCTTTTCATATAAGAGTTTTGGTGTGTGACCTTTTCAACATTCAAACAAACCATTTCCACATACAAGCAAATTGAAGTATTTTTCTAGCATGTAGATCTAGGACAAGTAAACATATGATATTGATCATCTGTCCTAAATCATGTTATATTTCCTATCCCGAATCAATGATAATGTTTTGTTTTTAATTTTTTTTTATTCATATGTTAATATATTATTGGTCTGAGATAAAGAATGAAACAACATTCGGGACACATGTAATCCCCATCCGTAAACATATGATACACGGTTAATTCCATTCCCTATATATGTCCTTCACTAAAACCATTACTTCATATCATCACAAAGCTCATATTCTAGATTCTATCTCTTACCAATTAAGGAATATCGAAAAGCATAATAATTCGATATTCATTATATTAGAACTAGAACAAGTGAGTTTAACTTCACCAAAGAAACTACATAAATGTCTTTATCTTCCACAAGGATCCTCTTCATAGTTCCACACCTTTTGCTAATCATCCTCACTATATTTGCTACTTTTAAATCTGAAGTAGCTTGCAGGCCATTAACTTTAAATCATAACCAGTCTTGGGCATACGACCTTCATCCACGTGGCCGCGCGCCACCGTCAAATCCCGGCGGAAATGGTAATATTGGTCCTGGTAATAATCCGTAGTTATTAGATTTTAGAGTAAATTACACTCACACCCCCTGATTTTTAATGAAATTACACAAACCACCTCACCTTTCTTTGTCCTTACACCAACCATCACTCCCTCATACACAAACCACCCCTAGATTTATACATACATTACACTGACTACCCTGCATGTTATAAAAGTGTAATATTTTAAAGAAAAAGCGTTTAATGAATGCAATTAAGTTAAACAAAATATTGTATATTATGTAACACTTCAAATAATACAAAAATGTTTCGTTATTATTTTTGTGTCATTAAAAAAATACATTAATAATTTCAAATAAATGTTTAAATAACTCTTATACTATTTTATAATGAGACAACTAATGAAAACGCATTGACTCTTATATTATTTGAATTTGTCTACATAATATACAATATTTTGTTTAATTAATTACACACATCATACATTTTTTGTTTAAAATATTACACTTTTATATCATGCAGAGGTAGTCAGTGTAACATATGTACAAAATTAGTGGTGATTCGTGTAAGGACAAAAAAGTTATGAGTAGTTTGTGTAATTTCAATAAAACTCAGGGAGTATGAGTGTAATTTACTCTAGATTTTATTAAGGATGAGAATAACATGTTAAACAAGGATAAAGATGTGTTTTGGGAAACTTACTCGATCACTTTTCAATATATTAAATACTTAGTTTCTCGATTTAAATTACCTTTTTAAGCTTGTTATTCTCATCCATAACGGTTGTGGTTAACAAAATCCTTAACAACACTGAAGTATTAAGCTAAATTTTTTCACATTTGATATGCAATTATTGTGTAGTAATAATTAATTTCATTCTCGTTGTAAAAGATCAATAATATTTGGGTAGAGATTATGTCTATCCTTGAACTTATTAGTGTAGTTACATGTGTTGCATGTTTTCACTTAAATTTTTTCCCACATACTGGTTCCGTTAAGTTGATTGTGATCATATTTAGTTTCAATCACCTTTCAGAATATAGAAACCAAATGTATTATATATATATATATATATATATATATATATATATATATATATATATATATATATATATATATATATATATATATATATATATATATATATATATATATATATATCATACAAGTATAATCACTAAGCCATATACATCAAGCAATTGCGCTTATTTTGAGCATATAACAGCGCTACCGTATGTTGTCTGTTTGACTACAGTAGTATAGGGTATACATTAATAGCGCTTCCGCGGGCGCTGTTGTATGTATAATCACTATACATACAACAACACATCCTAACACAAGCACAGTTATACTATTGACAAATATAACAGTGCAGACTCCATAGAGCGTTGTCTTATAATTCATATATAATAGCGCCACTTGAAAGGTGCACTGTTAAATAAAATATCGTAAAACAACGGAGGGTATAAGGAACGCTGTTGTATGGATCACATATAACACTATACACTAAAATGTGCGTTGTTGTATGTAATATATACCACAATGTACATTGTATGTAAAGGTGCGCTGTTGTTTGTACCTCATTCCTTAGAATGTGCGCTGTCATATTGTTTACATATGACAACGCCTGTTATAATGAGCGATGTCATATAGTTTGCATATGACAACACTCAATTTAAGCAGTCACTATGTTTATGCAATGCTCAATTTATGCAGCGATCACTTTAACAACGCCCTATTTACCATGTGTTGTTTTATATTTCAAATACAATAGCGCTTGCTAGATCTCCTTCTAGCATGTGCTATTGATTTGTACCAGCATTTCAAGAACACACTCTCAACATCACAATTTCAACAACATATTCAAGCTAAATTACCTATAGCAGTTACTATATTCAAGCTAGAACAAACACATTAACATAATGCTAAATTATGTTTTTAATATTAAAACATCAAAATACAGAATGCGAACCAAAAATATTTCACCAATTATGTTTTGTTTAGTGCATAAAATTACAAACAAATATTAAAAGTAAATTTTTTATGTAAATTACAAACAAACAAAATTATGCTATATTTATACAAAGATATGCATATATTTTTTCCTCTTTTTTGATGGTTTTTGGCTTGTAATATTATTATCTTCTCTAGTAAGAATTTCATTCACCCAAAGCCCCTCATCATGATCATCTCTTGTATATAAATCATCATTCGTAGTTATTGGCCCGCTCTCATGCGACACTAATATCCCAAAAAAAGGATCATCTTCAACATCAATATCTTCACATTCTTGGTCATTAATATTATTGAGGATTATTTTGTTAGTCAAAAGAACAATGAATCATTTCTTATTTGCTGAGTCACTAACATAAAATACATGTTGGAAACTTATTGTCACTAACATATAATACTTGTTGGTCATCATAGAATATTTGATGGGTCACAAAGATACAAAGATACTATTACATTGCATTGAAACTTACTATTATATCCTTCGAAATACGATCTTTCACTGAGTTCAGCCTAATATCAGTCCAAGAACTGAATTTTATCGACACATTCTGCCTAACCAATACTCCAATATAGCTTACTAAGGTGTTTCCACTTTTATTGTTTAATGGTTGACCCCTGTGTTCCATTCAACGGGTAACTTGATATTCTTACTCCTTGCACGAATCACCTTTTTCATGGAAGTGACTCCATGTGGAGTACGTTTCTGAGTGACTGGAGTTTGAGAAACCATTGGTCCTTGTTCGTTTTCTTCATTTTGAGAAGCTATTGTTGAAGGTTTGAGAGTGTTGAAGAGGTTTCAGAATGTTTGAGAGTGTTGGAGATGTTTGAGAGGTTTCAGAAGGTTTGAGAGTGTACATAACAAAACGTTTGTGTATCAACTTTTGATATTTTAAAAATTAAAACGTCGTAACAAATCAACAATGAACTTCTAAGGGTGCGTTGTTGAATATACATGTGTTTACATATTCAATAGCGCCCCTTTAATAATACACTGTTGAAATGTCCTCTTCAACAACACACCTTTAACACTACATTGTTGAATATGTATGAGTTAACAACACACCTTCAAAGTACTGTTGAATAAGTATTAGTTAATAGCGCACTACTAAACAAGCCCTGTTGAATAGGTAATATGAACAGTTACACCTGCCAATTGCCATCATGACTACTCTTAGATTTACGACACATCCAATCACTTAAATTATATAAAACATAGATATTTTAAAATTTCAAAAACAAAATCATTTAAACATAAAATTACTTAAACATAATGACTTAGATATAAAATTACTTAAACTTTATAGGCAATTTAACAATCATTTTCGTTATAAAATTACTTAAACATAACCACATAGATATTAAACTTGACTAAACATAATAACTTAGAAATAAAATTACTTAAACATAGTAACTCAGATATAAAATTAATTTTCACTTTATTATTTTAAGAGTAACATCTTTAACAAAAACACAATAAACAAAAGAGGTAAATGTTAATTGAAAATTGTATGTTGTATATATTGAAAATTAAATGAACATTACATTTTATATATGTTACATTAAACAACATTAATATACATTGTAAACCTTATGTTATAATCTATATACATTAAAATCTTTAAAATTTATACATGTGTTACAATCTATACATATAAATCCTTAAAAATCTATACATGTGTTACAATCTATACATTTAAATCCTTAAACAACTCTTTAACATCAAACTTGACTGAAGCTAAATAGTGTTGAACGAATACATGCATATATATAATAGATTTTGTCAAATAGATAATGTTCATTGACAAACAGAATTTGAAAATATAATGTTCATTGAAAATTAACATCCAAAATAGAAATTAATGTTCATTGCACAACAAAAATCATCCAAAACAGAAATTAACAGGAAAAAAGGGCAATTAAACAACAAAAAAGAAATTAACATCAATAATATATTGTTCAATCAGAGAAATTTTCTTTGACCAAAATAGAATTAAGATATTCCACATAGTATAGGTCAGACCCTGCAGCCGTGTATAATTCCCTGTAAGAATATTCATAAGATTTAATGAATATTGGCTAAGGATGAATAATAACAAACAGAAAAATGAATCATCTCTTTAATATTGTTCCATCTTGAAATATTAGCTTGTAATGATGGTTACAAAATCAATATTCTCCATCATTGAACACAACATCAAAGTTTTCAGCAATATAGTTACAACCCTCTTTAAGTTTATTTTGCAATTGTGGAATATAAATCTCATTCACAACAACCTCAATTTTATCCCCTTTACATAAACATATAATATGATCGATCAAATGAAAATCATATTATGAAATTTTTTAAATAAATAACTAAAACAGCTCAGGATAAATGAAAATCATCAAAAAGGAATGATCTCCACACATTTCAATACGCAAAAGAGTAGAAATTTTCACTTTAAGCCTCCATGATGTATTCTTAGAAGATAAACTAATATCTTTAATGAAATTCATTCCTTCAATGATGTAGCTACAATGAATTTCAATCATTTCATGGCTAAATATATAGACTCAAAGGATTATGTGGAAATGATATCTTTATTGAAATCCTTGACAGGTGTGCGAAACCCACATCACGAAGCAAAAGAATTCTATGGAACGAACACACTTTAATACATGAGAGAATGTTGTTTAGAAATTTTAAAATTTTAAAATCCTATCAAACCAACAACGCACATTTAAGAAAGCGCTGTAGAAGATATCTCATCAACAGCGTACACAAAAAAGACGATGTTAAATAGATTCCAATTAACAACGCAACAAAAAGGAGCGTTGTTAAAGAGAACAAATTCAAACAAGTGCTTATTCAACAACGCACATTAACGGATGTGCTGTTCATTTTATATCCGCTTATCAATATTAACAGCGATCACTTAACCAATACAATGTATATTTTCCTCTGCCTCATATTTAACATCATAGTTTTAGGAGGCACTGTTGAAGGACCGTTGTTAAAGACAATTTCTGTCATAGTGAATAGGTACTGAAACCTACTTACACATCAAAATTGCATATTCCCATTTAAAAATACAACAAAATACATTTATCTGTGAAGTTCTACTAATAAAGTATATATGAAACATGGGAATTGTGAATTCATTAATATTCAAATCAAGGTAAGTTAATGAAGTCATGCAGAATAGTGGGACCATTCAGGAGGAGATATGAAGTAGTAGTTTCTTGCCCTACGAGGAATGAAGATCCGTTGTCTCTTTTGGTGTCTCTAAAAGTATTCCGGACTAATCAAAATATATTATTTAATTGAGAAAAAATATTATAGAAAAAAAAAATATAAAAAAATATTTTATATTATTTGATTAGAGGAGGATATGAAAACAAGATCCTTTAGAACAGAGGATCCCTCTTCCAATATGATGGCACCATAGATTATTATTTGGTTATGGGAGGGACGCAAAATCTAAGAAAGAAGGGTCTCCGTGACATTGACACTAGATAAGGTTATTATCTGAGACCATTGTTTTAGTGTTGTCACACAGGTAACGACATCTCATATGCAAAGGGTGACAAGGTTGTCTAGGACCATCACTTAAGGACAAGATGACAACCTACACTTACTTAACAACATACACAACCTTTAATTATATATGATTAAGATGAAGAATTTAAAAGGAAATTTAATTGTGGAATAGGTATATAAAATAATAAAAAGTGAGTGATGGAATACACTTACACTTAACTAGTATTTTTTTATTTTTTTATCGGCAAATGTTAGTTGTTAGTATGTTATGTTAGTATTTGTTGTGGACGAGTTTCGAACCCATAACCTCCTTCACCCTATTCCTTAAGTCTTTCACCTTAACCACCGGACCACCTTATGACTCCCACCTACTTAACTAGTTATCCTCTCAATTTCAACAAAATCGATGCCCATGACCCTGTCCTCCATGACCTGAATTTGGTGCTGGGTCTCGTGAAAGGGCCTGAAAATGAAGGTGATATGCCCTTAAATGATCATGATTTAATAATAATAATGGCCTGCAATCTACTCCATATTGTGGATAAGTGGCAAAAATGATGAGAAAGATTAACAAAAGCTGTGGAACTATGAAGATGATGTTGGTGTAAGAGAATGCCATTATATTGGTGAGAGATGAAGTAGAATATAATGAAGTTTTGATGATATGAGTTAATGCTAAGGACTAAGGACACATATATAGGGGAATGTAATCATTAACTTATGTTCAGATATGGCTATGAATTTCCCCATTCTAGATCAGGTGCCAAAAATAGTTTATGTATCTGCTTTGTTTGAATGTTGAAAACGTTGAAATTGAAGACATTCACACCATAAAGCCACGCGCAATGACTAAGGTTATAAAAGAAATTGTGTTGATTATGATATGAATCTCTACTCCCTTGCACATTTTCTCAATAATTTGACTTGAACTAATCAAATTGAAATCAATAAGTATTGTTCCCAGAAATTGAACTTTTGACTTTTTGGTTACCCTGAAAATTTTACGGGATCTTACCCCATTAAATCAATGCAATAATAAGTAACAATTTGTCAATAGTTATATATATTCAGAATTACCCTGGTTTAAGTTGTGAAATACTTCTACGGGTGTATGATAATAAGATATGCCAGAAGGTGAAATGATTGAGGTATAAGTTGCACATATCACTTTTTAATCAATAGGAGAAGGTTAAGTTTAATTATAAGATGATATATTATTCGTGAGCTTTATTCTCTTGGATTGTACCATTGATATAATTATTAGAAAGGTCTCCAAAAGTGAGTTTATTGTTAAATCAAGTTTGGACTAAACCAACTATTTTCTAAACTCTAATTTAGGAACCAATAATACATTCTAAAATCCTACTGGTTCTTCAAATAAGTCAAAAGGTTAAAAATTCAATTTCTAGAAAGTAGAAACAATACTTATTGTGAGAGACAACGATAACCTTGAAATGATTAGTTCTTTACCCATAAAATGATGGAAAAGTCTTAATTTACTAAAAAAAAGGACTCTAACTTAGTTTGATTAAGACTCAGGACCTATTCAAATATTTAACAAGATCAATTTCTACGGTTCATTTGTTCAAATAGTAGTAATTTATAAATCACATATAAATCCATTTGTACGAATTTTTTTATTTGAAAATATAATATATTCACTTATTATTATAAAAAGCATATAGAAAATAATTATGAATATATATATATATATATATATATATAATGAATTGGGTTTATAAATCTAACAAGCTTTATTTCTTACATTCACTTTATTTATTTAATGTTTTATTTCTTTCATTCACTTCATTTATTTAATGTTTTATGTTCAACTCATTTAATTCATAAATAAGTTTATTAAATTATTTGATGATTATGAATCCCAATGTTAGTGTTGTTTTAAGTATGCAACCTACATTTTATTTTAAAAAAATTGTGCAGAATTGTATTTGACACTTGCTATGAATCTTCTACTTGTATGGACTACGGATTTTGTAAGTAGTCATGGGTTTGTTAACGCGTATGGTTTAGTATAACTTAGTACCAGGTGTTTATTAGTTTTTCGAGTCTTTTTTTTGAGATTACTTTGAAAATTTAGTTTTGTTCTTATATTTTTAGAATATTGAGCATCTCATTATATATTTTACAAGTATCCTTACTAATTGAGTGGAAAGAAAAAGAGAAAATACTACATAAATCATTAATTGAGTGAAAAATGAAAACGAAAGGAACAAATATCCATAATAATAAAAAATACATCAATGGTTGATTGATTTAATATTATTTACTCTTTATTAAATTTATCTAACTGATATCAAATTACTCATAAAAAAATCTTAGACAAAAGAAAGAAGTAGTGGGAGTAGAGTAGATAGATTAATATTATAATGACCACGTTTTCTTTTCTAACCTAACTAGTTGGGATATAATATAAGAGTCTTGGTGTCAATTTCGACCTTTTCAACATTCAAACAAACCATTTCCACATACAAGCAAATTGAAGTATTTTTCTACCATATATACACGGTTAAATTCCATTCCCTATATATGTATGTGTTCTTCACTAAAACCATTATACTTCATATCATCACAAAGCTCATATTCTAGATCTATATATCTCTTACCAATTAAGGAATATCCAAAAGCATAATAACTCGATAATCATTATATTAGAACTAGAACAAGTGAGTTTAATTTCACCAAAGAAACTACATAAATGGCTTTATCTTCCACAAGGATCCTCTTCATAGTTCCACACCTTTTGCTAATCATCCTCATCATATTTGCTACTTTTCAATCTGAAGTAGCTTGCAGGCCATTAACTTTAAATCATCACCAGTCATGGGCATACGACCTTCATCCTCAGGCGCTGTTACGCGGCCACGCGCCGGGGTCATGTCCCGGCGGAAGTGGTATTATTGGTTGTGGTAATAATAATCCCTAGTTATTACATTTTATTAAGGATGAGGATAACAAGTTGAACAACGTTTTGGGAAAATCATTTTTCAATATATTAAATACTTAGTTTCTCGATGTAAATTACCTTTTTAAGATCCTTATTCTCATCCCTAACTATTGCACTATGTGGCCATTGAAGTATTAACCTAAAATTTTCACATTTGATATGTAATTATTGTGTAGTAGTAATTAATTTCATTCCCGTTGTAAAATGTCAGTAATATTTGGGTAGAGATTATGTCTATCCTTGATATTATCAGTGTACTTACATATGTTGCATGTTTTCACGTAATTTTCCCCCCATATATTGATTCGATTGATTGTGATCATATTTAGTTTCAATCATCTTTCATAATATAGAAACCAAGTGTATGCATATATATATATATATATATATATATATATATATATATATATATATATATATATATATATATATATGAGTTAATTACACTCACCCCCTGAGTTTTAGTGAAATTACACAAACTACCCCTTCATTTTTTGTCCTTACACGAACCACCCCCGATTTTATACATATATTACACTAACCACCCCTGATTAGATATAAGTGTAATATTTTAAACAAAAAACGTGTGATGAGTGTAATTAAGTTAAATAAAATATTATATATTGTGTAGACAATTCCAAATAGTACAAAACTGAGTGTCTTTTTATTATTTTTGTTTCATTATACAATATATTAACAATTCTAAAGAGATGTTTATATAACTCTGGTATTATTTTTGTAATGAACCAAATAATGAAGATGCATTGACTTTTATATTATTTGGATTTGTCTACACAATGTACAATATTTTGTTTAACTTAATTACACACATCACATGTTTTTGTTTAAAATATTACACTTACATCTCACCGAGGGTGGTTAGTGTAATATATGTACAAAATTAGGGGTGGTTCGTGTAAGGACAAAAAAGTGAGGGGTTGTTTGTGTAATTTCACTAAAACTCAGGGGGTGTTAGTGTAATTAACTATATATATATATATATATATATACATACATAATTCACAATTGATGATACAAAACAACATAGAGAAAAAAACACTCTCTTAGCATGATTGCGTTCATAACATAGAAAAAAAACACAATTAATGATACAAACACTAAATATTAGTAACATTAGAATGAAAGTTATTGTTTATTGAGAATAACAAAACAACATGTTCAAAATATGAATACAATACATGTAAATAATAAATTAAAATTCAATAAAAAATTCAAAATATAAATAATAATGTTCTCCATGTTTAAAATAACAAAACAACAAAGTATTCATTTTAATAGAACTTAAACTATCTCCATGTAAGTGTGACGAAATTAAATAGACAAATCAACTAATACCTTTAGGGTCATTCTTATATTTAGCATTATTAGAAAGTTTAAGAGAAGGTGAAAGAGAGAATGAAAGATGAAAGTATAATGAGGTGGATATAATGAGAACATTAAGTAAGAAAGAAAATGTGTAAGGTATGAAATCAAAGTAAAAAGGAAGATGAAGAAAAATTTATTTATGAAGTAAAGAATTAGTTGTCATCACCGGTGGGGTTTAACTATTGAAGCAAAAGTCATTCCATTGTGCGTGTAAAAAAGTAAGAAGATGTGTAGTTTTTGAAGGAGGTGATTGAGAAGAAATGTTTTAGGATTATGAGAGAGAAAATGTTGGGTTCTATGAGAGAAAGTAATGAAGTGATGTAGGAAGTTTCTTTTTTACACATGGGTCCCAAAATTTTGTCCGCAACACTATCCCAACCAATAACATTGTGTCACGTCATTTAAAAAATTCACATCACTCTTCAATAAAAGTAAAGAATTAGTAATTTCAAGAAAAGTAAAGAATTAGTAATTCCAAGAAAAGTAAAAAATTAGTAATTTCAAATAAAAGTAAAGAATTATATGAAGTCATAATATTGCAGTATGAAAATGGTAACATTAAGAAGAAAAATATTCAAAATTTTATATTTGAATAGTAATTTCAATTTTTTTAATTAAAAAGAATTTTTTTTTTATTTTCACATTTTGCACTTATTGTAACATTACAATTCTAACGGTGTAATAATATAATTTCATAATATTAGAATTTAAAAAATATAACGATAACATTGAAATTATAACAAAAAATATTGTGCATATGAATGTGATTTTAAATTTCAGCTACCACTTGTAAAAGTGATTAGTTGCAATTTTTAGGTAATGAATGATTTGATATGATTACACCAACAATTAGAAGAACAATATTAGAAAAATGTTTAATTCAAATATTAATACAATTTCAATAAATTTTATTTGTGATTCCTTAATTTTAAGCAATGCCTAATATAAATATATACTCATTTATTGTTTAATTATAAAATAAGTAATAAGAAATATGTATAACGCATAATAAATATGTATTCCTTAATTTTAAAAAGAATAAGAGATATGTATAACTCATAATAATTATGTAGTCCATAATATTGCAGCATGAAAATAATAACAATGAGAAGGAAAAATAACATTCAAAATTTTCTATTTGAATAGTAATTTCAATTTTTTATTAAAAAGTAAAGAAAATATTTTTTATTTTCACATTTTGTATAAGATAACACAATTCAGTATGTAGTTATTCACATTTTGTAACCGATCAATTTAGACTTTAAAGTATTTTCAAAGCTCAATTAAGTATGTAGTTATTGTTGACATTTTAGATTTTTATGGTAATTTCAATTTTTTATTAAAAAGTAAAGAAAATATTATTACAGTTTTTATTAAAAAGTAAATAAAATATTATTAACCTTGAAATTATAACCAGCACAATTTATAAACTTTAATATATGTGTGATTTAAAATTTCCCCCACAAACTCTAAAAGTGATCAGTTGCAATTTCTAGGTAATGAATGATTTGATATGATTACACCTAAAATTATAATAGTAATATTAGGAAAATGATTAATTCAAATATTAATACAAGTTCAATAAATTTTATATGTGATTCCTTAATTTTAGGGAATCCCTAGTATAAAGTTATATTCATTTATTGTTTAATTATAAAATAAGTAATAAGTAATATGTATAACTCTTAATAAATATGTATTCCTTAATTTTAAAAAGAATAAAAGATATGTATAACTCATAATAATTATGTAGTACATAATATTGCAGTATGAAAATAGTAACAATGAGAAGAAGAAAAAATCTATTCAAAATTTTCTATTTGAATAGTAATTTCAATTTTTTATTAAAAAGTAGAGAAAATATATTTTTTATTTTCACATTTTGCATAAGATGACACAATTAAGTACGTAGTTATTCACATTTTGTAACCGGTCAATTTAGACTTTAAAGTATTTTCAAAGCTCAATTAAATATGTAGTTATTGTTGACATCTTAGATTTTTATAGTAATTTCAAATTTTTTATTAAAAAGTAAAGAAAATATTGTTACACTTTTTATTAAAAAGTAAAGAAAATATTATTAACAATGAAATTATAACCAACACAATTTATAAATTTTAATATATGTGTATGATTTTATAAACTTAAATTTCCCATGCCAATTCTAAAAGTGATGAGTTGCAATTTTTAGGTAAAAAATGATTTCATATGATTACACTTAAAATTAAAATAGTAATAATAGGAAAATGGTTAATTCAAATATTAATAGAATTTCAATAAATTTTGTTTGTGATTCCTTAATTTTAGGCAATGCCTAATATAAATTTATTTTCATTTATTGTTTAATTATAAAATAAGTGGTAATAAATATATATAACTCATAATAAATATGTATTCCTTAATTTTAAAAAGAATAAGAGATATTTATAACTCATAGTAACAATGAGAAGGAAAAAAAATTCAAAATTTTCTATTTGAATAGCAATTTCAATTTTTTTATATTAAAAAGTAAAGAAAATCTACTTTTTTTATTTTCACATTTTTTATAAGATGAAACAATTAAGTATGTAGTTATTCACATTTTGTAACCGGTCAATTTAGACTTTAATGTATTTTCAAAGCTCAATTAAGTATGTAGTTATTGTTGACATTTTAGATTTTTATGTTAATTTCAATTTTTTTATTAAAAAGTAAAGAAAATATTATTATATTTTTTATTAAAAAGTAAAGAAAATATTATTAACCATAAAATTATAACCAAAACAATTTATAAATTGTAATATATGTGTGTGATTTTAAATTTTTCATGCCAATTCTAAAAGTGATCAGTTGTAATTTTTAGGTAATGAATGATTTGATATGATTACACCTAAAATTAGAATAATAATATTAGGAAAATGGTTAGTTCAAATATTAATACCATTTCAATAAAATTTATTTGTTATTCCATAATTTCAAGCAATGCCTAATATAAATATATACTTATTTATTGTTTAATTATAAAATAAGCAATAAGAAATATGTGTAACTCATAATAAATATGTATTCCTTAATTTTAAAAATAATAAGAGATATGTATAACTCATAATAATTATTTAGCCCATAATATTGCAGTATGAAAATTATAACAATAAGTCGGAAAAAATATATTCAAAATTTTCTATTTGAATAGTAATTTCAATTTTGTTATTAAAAATTAAAGAAAATATATTTTTTTATTTTCACATTTTGTATGAGATGACACAATTAAGTATGTAACGACCCGATTTTCATAACTCAAAAATTTTCAAACTTTATTAAAAGTAAATATTAGTTAAGTTTCCCAATTCAAAATGCGAAAATAATCAATAATAAATTTTCATCAAAAATATTACATCACCTTCTACTTTAATCAATAACTCATACAATTATCATTTGTTTCAATTACGACACTATTAAAGGTAATATGCTAATTCTTATTACATCCTTTTAGTCTTTTAAACAGAACATCAAAACATAAATGAAAACTCCCATATAAAGGGTCCAATATCAACCATTACAAACTCTTAGAGTAACTACTAAACACACACTAAATCCAAAGCAACGCAATTACTCCAAGACTCTACAATATCTTATCCCTTAGCTCCACCTACAATCCGATTACCACAGATTGAGTAAACAAGACAACATAGAGAGAGTCAGTCATTAAATACATGCAATATATAACATGATGGATTTACATAGAATAATAACATTAGAACATAGTTAAACATGAACTCTACATCATTCAACGCAACACAACCCATGAGATTCAATAAACCATTATTCATAACTACACCACCATTCCATAATACCAATAAGTCTCAATTGTCAAACCACAAATCAAACCCATACTACAAATGCATATCCAAAATCC